CCCATTATAGGGAGCAAACCTTTACTAAGAAAGTGATCTAGTGTAAGAAGAAAGCATATAGAGAACTTGAAAATGTAAACATCATAAAAAAATCAAAAAACACGGGCAAACTGTCAAATCCAGATTTAATAAACGAGTCTTTCATTAACTCTGTTTTAATTTCAAAGCCGCCATCACCAGTGATCAACTACTTTTCCGTATCCACAAGACAAATTTCATTTTTCTATAGATTCAGATTCGCAAATTGCACAATCTTTCTGTTTCTGACAATATTATATAAGATTATATAACGTGTTCTAAAAACTCAAGTAGTGAATTATGTCGAAAAAGAGAAAGTAATTGACAAAACACAGGAGTGAGCTCAGTTGTGCTATAGCTGTTCCTGGTGTGACAAATGACATCGTTAGAGGGATTTACGAAGGCAAGTGCACTATGTTGGTCCTGCTCGACTACTCTAGAGCTTTTCATACCATAAGTCGCAATATTCTGTTTAACATCGTTAAATATCTGGGTTTGGTTTTGGTCGAGTCTGCTTAGATGAAGGATAGGGGTTGCTGCTGTCTCCGTTTCAATACCCTGAATACCTTTCAGAAAAAATAACCTTATGAACAGACGTTAACAATTTATTTTTAAAAAAACTTCCACAGGATACTGTAATACTTTTAATAAAACTTCTGGACTCCTCCTGCGTCGGTTTTTGTTGAGTCGAACCAAAAGGGGTGGCATGTTACTCTGTACCTGCTTATATAATGTTTGAGGAGGGCGGAGCTAAATTAAGGGTATAAACACCATCTCGGATGACTGATGACAACTGCTGATGAGTTTATTTGTCTTAGTTCTAAGGTTCTTTCATTTTCTATCAGCCTTGTTGATGTTTGTCGTCCCGTCTCGCCAATGTATTCCTTGCCTCACATGCATGCTGTAAAGTACTGTCAATGATGTTTTGAATGTAAGGAAATGTAATATGGGATTACTTTCGCCTTCAGTGCTATTATAAGGTTGTGGTAAAGTGTATTTTGCGATGGAAAGCTTAATATCTTTAATGTTGCAATTATTAGAGAGAATAGCAGAGGTAAGGTGTTTTTATTCTGAGTTTACTGACTCGGGCTGAGATAGTTTTACGGCTCTGCAAACCAGAAAGTTGATAACCGATGATTTCTAGGCCGGATGGTGATGTGACAATGCATTAAGGTATCGATCTGTGTGCGTAGGTTTTCAATAAACACAAAGACCCAATGTTCGGTCTGGTATTCTATTGATTAGAATATCTAAGAATGGGAGGTGTTATTAGTTTCTAATTCAATGGTAAAGCGTATTTTAGTGTGTATAGAGTTTAAATGTCTAAGAAAATCTATTAGGGTCTATGAACCATGAGGCCAAATAACAAAAGTATCATCGTTTCCATAATTTTGATTTTAAATGAAAGGTGTTGAGAGCTTTCTTTTCATAGGTTTCCATAAATATATTCGCGATGGCTGGTGATAGCGGAGAACCCATAGCTGTTCCCGACATTTGTTCAATAATTTGGCCGTTATAAGAAAAATATGTTCCAGACAAGCATTTTTCAATTAAGGTAAGAAGATTTGGTTGCAGATTCTCGGATTTTAATATATCTGAAACGATGGTGAGAGTTTCATTAATAGGGACTTTAGTAAAGATGGATTCTACATCGAAACTAACCTGAATATCTTGTGTATCTAATGTAATATTCTTTAATTGTTCACTGAGGCGAAAGGAATTAAGTACGAAGCTATCAGTTGGTTTTAACAAGGAAGCTAGATATTTTGCTAGAGAATATGTGGGAGAACCAATGGTGCTGACAATAGGTCGAAGGAGTAATCCTGGTTTGTGAATCTTTGGCAGTCCATAGAGACGATGAATTTGAGAGTCTACAGATTTTTTCACGGCGTTTGTTAGAGAAGAAGCTTAAATGACAGATTTGAGGTTGAGTTCCATAGATGAGGTAAGATCTTTTTTAAGTTGAAGATGTGATCCGTCTGTAAGAACAATGTAAAAAATAGCATTTTTACCTGTTACTTTGGTGAGAGAGGTAGGTTTAGGTCTTCTTCTTCCATATATAGGTAGGTAGGTACTTACCCAAGATGAAATTTTAAAATGACGGATTTAAGGTTGAGTTCCATAGATGAGGTAAGATCTTTTTTATGTAAAAACAATGTAAAAAATAGCATTTTTACCTGTTACTTTAGTGAGAGAGGTAGGTTTAGGTCTTTTTCTTCCATATATAGGTAGGTAGGTACTTAACCAAGATGAAATTTTAATTCAAACCATGTAGGAATTTTGTGACAGGTCGTGTGTGTTTGTTAGAATAAACGTAGAAATCAGCAAACAGATACGTCTGAACGCTTGTACTCTTGCCTTTTCTTGTAATTTTCTTTGTCAAGATTACCCGAATATTTATTTAGTTTTAAGTTAATATTTAATCCAGAAGAGTTTGCAGATAATCAAGCTCCTCTGTAACTAAAATGGTATCGTCAGATGTTTCAATTCTGCCAGTTTGAAAATTGCCTTAATTAAAAAACATAATCCTGACTTCATCTGTCATTCATTGTCTTGGCACCCATAACCTATCTAAACCTCAATCGCTCATTTCAGAGTCCAGCTTCGCAAATATTCTGCTATGAATTATTCTTAAAAATACTTTAAAGACGTAACTCAAAAAGGCTATTGTTCCATGGCTAGCATGGTAGCATTTTCTTTCTTAGGTAACGTTACCATTGTAGGAAGGACCACTCTTGAGTATATGATATTAATTTGCCCTGATCGTCATTGACAAGTTCCCTAGTATGTTCACTCCAACGAATCGGTTGCCAACATAGTGAACTGCCTATATTTCTTCATTCCGGGCATCTTTTTCTAACAGTGGTAGCAGTAGTACTAGTATTCTTTCACTTCTTCACATTTCCTTGACAGACTTAATCTTTCCTTGGACGATATTGTCGATTCTTCTATACTTGATGTTATAGTTTGTCTTGATTTCTTTCCTGAAGTCAGCTATTTTTTTGTCCTGCTGATTATAAAATTGAAATTAACAACCGAAATCGAATTCCTTTTTTTCCTTCACATTAAGCGGTCCAAAAAAAGTTTCAAAGAAAAACGCCCAACTGTACGTAAACAAAGCCGAAAGTATCAAAATTCTTCTTACGTAAAAGTGGCTAAAATTTGACTCGCCCCTTGTCTGAGCGAAATAATTAAAGCCCCCACCTCTCCTTTTTTATTGATATTTCGTAAACACGTGCGAGTGATTATATTTTCCCTATTAAACTTCGCGTTCCTGATCGGTTTGGGGATTATATAAAACGCAGATCGTTGGTCGTTTTTTCTTTATCGAAAAGTGTCAAAAACACGGAAAGTTCTCTTCAAGAAGGCTCACATAAATTGGCACTATACTCGCGAACGGTTCGCAATTTATTGCCTTACAGGAGGAAAACACCTTTTTTTATAAAATATATACACAAAATTTAATGGCTTCTTTTATTATCTATCTGCTCAACTATTAGTGACTTTACCAGATTTGCCCAACATGGAGGTGTCTCATTTAAAGGGCTGCAAAATAATCTATAGAGTTATCAAAAATCATTCAAATTTGAACAAATAATTACAATTATTATTATTATTATTATTGTTATTGTTATTATTTCGCAACAAAATGATTAAGAATGTATCACAAAATTTCCCTAGCCTTATGTTTCAACAAAAGGAGTTTTGCAGTTTGAAAACATGCGAGTACTTCTTTCTATTGTCTTCTAGATTTATTTGTTAAAATAACTTGAAATAAAGAACACATTTCCATGACCACTTTTGCTGCTGTATAACTCAGTAGCATTAAGTATTGAATCTAACATTTCGAAACATCGCAACTCCGTGCTTTTGATAAAAATATTTCAATTTTTAACATGGTCTGAGAAAAAGCATTATTTTCTAAAATATGTTACGCAGAAAAATATTTTAAAAGTTAATATGCAACGTAACAGAAACTGTTATATAGATCTCAAACAGCTAAATAAATTCGATTTAAAATCGCAAAACTCCTTAAAACATCCAAACTAAACCTGATGAAGCCTCATTCAGCAGAAACGGTACCAATTACACCAAGAAGTCACATTGTTGGGCCTTGAAAGTCAAATAGAAGATAGATTTTCTGTGAATATTTGGTTTATAATTGAAGAACATCTCACGGCCATTCGTTATTTAGATTTCATTGAAAATATTACTGGACGATGTTCCTCTTAATGTAAGAGAACTAATGTGGATTGGGCACAATGTCGCAGCTCCTCACTTTGGTCGACAAGTAACAGAAAAATTGCGGAAAAAGTTAGTTTATGCAAAAAGTATTGAAAAAGGAGAACATCTGGTAGCTAGAATGATGGATGCCGCGGAAACTATTCGTGCTGATCCTGAGACTGTTAGCACTTCAATTATAAGAAGAGCTAGACTATGTATACAGCAACTGGGTGGACATTTTGAATAACTAATTTATTAAAATAAAATGTAAATAAATAAAATATATTGAAATAAAAAATAAAGGAGTTTCTTTTACATGGTCTTTGTCGGTATCTTCATTCGCTCCAGAAACACCCTGCTGTGGCAGTCATGACATGGGATACGCTGTATATCATCGGATTCGTCTTTTAAAGGGGTTTTCGAAAACTGAATAAAATATCGTTCCATTTTCAAAAATGTATTTTTATTTGACCACAATGTATGTAATTCAGGGACGATAAAGATCAAGATCATTTTATTGGAAATTCATACTTTTTTTATACCACTCATGCATTTGGAGATAAGGTACCCGTACCCTTTTTGCATTAATTACACAAATAACTATCAATGGTCACGCACAAATACGCGCAATTGAGATTCACGGCATACCCAACCTTCCATCAAAGTGTTAAATAAATCACCGGCGAATTTTAAGTAGCGTCGACTATTAAAATAGGAACAATTTAAGGCTAAATCACTATCCTAATTGAATTTTTGTTATTGACATGTCCAACCCCGTCCCAAACGCATTTGTATAAATAACAATATACATTTTGGCATAGCGTCACATCTCAGCAGGCTGCCGCTTGTATCTAGTGCCAGTGAAGAGAGTCAGACGTTTCAGAAATGTTCAAATTTGTAAGTACATTAAACAATTACAAATGGTATATTTTGCGAGTGCCATTTGCATAACCGATTCCAAAATTTAAATATTTAGTCAGTTTATTAAGTTTTTGTTTCAAAAAAACACTTTAAGATTGAAATAAATAAATAATAAATGATATTAATGACGCAAAGTTTAAATCAATAACGATTAATTAGATACCCTTTTCCAACGATTTTTTTCTTAAAACTCCAAGTTTTCACACCTTTGAAGCTTGTTTCGGTAAAAATTACTTTGCCTTATATCCTGATGTTTATCTGTTAAAACCTATTTCGAGAACTTACTTATAAGAGTAGGGAATATGGAAGTTGCAGGAGATCAAATGGCTTAGTATACTGATCAATAGAAAACGCCCAGATTATCTTTATGAACAAAATTTTGTGGCGATACCCATATGGCTCTCAGAATTTGTGGTTATACACTTCAGAAGGCTGCTATTCCTCTTAATCGCCTTTGATACCTGTCTGCTTCTCGAGTTTGTCCAACATTATTTTGACTTTTTCTGTGTTCTTATCTATGTTACGCTAAATAATCCTCAGAAATTGTGGTTGGACTCTTTTATCTATAAACCAGTTGCTATTTGCAATTTTGAGTCGATACACTAAAAGTTGGAAAGTTTTTAGAGAAAGAAGTATGTTCTATTAGCCATATGGGACCTTATGGCTTATTGTCTAACCTATAGCTCACCTTCCAGAATATCTGGATGGCGTAAAACTATATAAATGTTGTGACGATACGACCATCTTAATCGCGAGGAAAACGAAATCAATAGAAAAATTGAAAAACCACCTTTTATTAAAACCTGAAAAAACTGTTCAAGTTCAGCATTGAAATCTCTCTTAAATGCGTCTTCTTTTTTAAACCTATACTACTCATCAGTATATTTATTACAGTCGGAGCGAATTTTTGTCTCGCAAAAAAAGATATTTCGACTAATGTACTACTTAAATTTTTTTAACTGTGATAGGTTTTTATTTTCTTTTAAATTATTAATTTACATACATAAAAATAAAGACAACTTTCAGACAAGATCTTATATTCATTACTACGGGCCAAGAAATCAAAATAACTCTCAGGTAAAATTTTTTAATATCAATTGCTATAAAAAAATAACTTTTCAATCTGGACAAACATACTATAATATGCTTCCTGCTGCAACTAGGGACGTAGAGCAAGGGAAATTCAAAAAATATTTAAAATATTTACTGACAACAAATGTTTTTTATGTTTTATGTTTTGCATAATAGATACAAAAAAAAAAATTGTACTCCATTACACGGTTTGGCTCTTTGTTTCTGCTCTTTTTCACGTAAAATTTGGTATTTGTTTTATATAACATTCTTAAATAAATTCATTTAAAAATCTGGTACCTGGTGATCATCATAATTTTTGTTTGCGCATTTTTTGCAGTTAGATAATATACAGGGTGGGTCGAAAAGTAGATATCAATAATTAGTTCCTTTTTTTAAATAGAATACATTTTTGAATTCTCTGTCCAATTTTACTCGTACTACACGTAGCATACCCTATATATATTTTTTACTTTTTATGAGCAAAATGATAAGAATCTGTATCGGTAATATCCTTAAATTGTCACAATTACAGTTCTGGCAGTAAAAAATATATCGAATCTACATTAAACTCAGGGAATTGAAATTTTTATTAAATATTGAGATAAAAGTAAAACTCAAGAAGTTTGTAATTTTGAAAACAATCCAATGAACCGTACATTCGATTTGCCTTGATAACATTTTAATTTACTGCCACTTTTTTGTTTTTAGATATGTCAAGGTAAACAAGAAAACCAAATGTAGGGTTAGTAGCCAAGTTTTTTTCCATTTTTTCAATTTTCTGATATGCCTACAGCAAATATTTTTAAATGGAACACCCTGTATATTATATACTTGTATAATAGAAAATCTTATTCCGATTGCAATGATGTAACACACTTTATATTTCGTTTTTGACAAATCGGCAAATATGATTTCAAAAAGTGCCATGATTGACTGCAACAGGAATAATTATTTGCCAATTGAAATGGAACAAAAACACTAAAAATGACAAGACACACTGAAGTAGAATTCTTTAACTATTCTACCATTGCCCTGAACACATTTCTCACACATTCTAATTGTATGAAGTCTTGCATGTAGGATTGTCTCTTTAACTGATTGATTGCCTCCGAAATCCTTTGCCGAAGTTCCATATTGTTACAAGGAGTTGTGTCTCCAAAATAAAAAAAAACCATTAAAGTTAAGTTGTGGCTGTTGGCTGGCCAATCCATAGCTCCGCCGTTCCCTATCCAACTTGCACAACATTGTGAGGAGGGGCACCACCATGCTGCTATATAATCAGCGCTGATATATTTAAGGGTAAATCTTCCATATATTGTTCTATTGGGTGCTCTACGAATTGCAAATAGCTTTTGATCTGTAAATATCCGACCCAAAATATGCCCACCTTTGACACCACACCATACATTAATTGATTGGTACCCCTGGGTTTTAATTTCGCGTATTTGTCTAGGATTATTTAAAGACCAATATTGCGTATTTTGTCCATTACAACCCTTTCTTTTAGGGAACGAACTTTCATCAGTCCATAAAATGTTTTTCAAAAAAATATTATCCTCGTGAGTTTTACGAAATTTAAATGCATTATATTTTTATTTTTTCAAAACTGAGAAATACCTTTCCATTCATTTACTCTAGTAACAGAAACATATCACTCCTTTCATGGATGCTACGGATCATCCACGTTATTTTTGCAGATTTGTCAGAAAAAAAATTGGACTAAAATATAAAGTATGTTACATCATTGTAATCGGAATAAGATATTCTATTAAACACATCTATATAATATACAGGGTGTCAAATTAAAAAATGATGTAGGCTTATATGACAGAAAATTGATAGTGTTTTGTTTTATACGTCACATGGGAAAAAAACTTGCCTACTAAGCCTACATTTTATTTTTTTGTTTACAAAAATGTTACAGCCAATAAAAATGTTATCAAAATTAATTGAACGCACGGTATTAATCGCCGTAAACGTCCAAGGTAACATCAAGTATGATTATTATTGTCGGTACCATCTGAATTTGAGATATTAAAAAGTACGGAAGATATTGTCGCCGTTATTAAAAATTTCGTTTCTACCGCCATTTTTAAATGTTACAGATCGTGTTGGTTTCCGCGATTGTCGCGGCGGTCGTGTCAAAACCCGCCCCCAAACCGGACGTTCTTGTAGATCCGTTCGCCGCACCTGGATTCGTCTACCCCTCCGTTTACAGCGCGCCACTGACCTACGCCGATTACGTGGTGCCTTCCGCGTATGCAGATTACGTGTATGCGCCTCACGTGGCAGAGTCTTACCTGGTGGTTTAAAAATAATAAGCGCACCACCACATTGTCTACCACCACGTGCGGTGTACCTTTTTATCGTATAAAATCCTTATGGAAAATTGCGTTTTTCTTTCTTTGTCGCAATGACAACCGACCTTCACGTTTAACAAAGAGTGTTTCTAAAAACGTTCCCGCTATTTCAAGAGTTGCAAGAAATGCTATGAAATGAAAACCATCAGTTTCTGCACTTAATTAAAAAAAAAAACAGTTTCCAACTATCTGTTGATAAAGAGCATGCCCTTGTTTTAAGACTTGTGGATTATTTAGCTCGGAGAAACCGCTTTTACCCTTAATTGCTGTACAGGGTGGCCCGCTTAAGAAGGGCCTATACCTTATTTGGACACTTACGGGGGTTAATAATAAGACTATAAGAATAATAATATTCTTCATTCAGGTAATTTCGATAAGGAAAGTTACAAGCAAAGGCAAGAGTGCAGCGCTCAGACGTATGTGCTTCAAAATAAAATTAAATATAAAAGTTGTTTCTATTAAAATAACCTCGATTTTCTTTATTTTCCTAATAGTCACTTTTTTATGTGCAGATTGGTAAAACAAAGTTACATTTTTTTAAACAGAACACCCCACATTTCATTGCATTTTGGATAGTCCTTTCAAAGATGAATTCAACGATATATATGAGTATGGGACTGTGATGCACCGTTCTGAACTTATTAGCGATCATCTTCTTCAGAATTCTGGTTATATTTCAACCATCATTGTTGGGATTTTCTTCAGGAAACGATCAAATTTGAAATATTTTCTTAAAATCACGCGGTATTGCCACATTTCGCAAAATGTTGATACTTTTCTCAATTTTCTTAAGTGAGACACCCTTTATATTATTAGATTTTCGAATAGCCACTTTAATAGCAATTTCATCATAATACGGGTCTCGGACTTACCGTTTTGGCTTAATTGGAATTATTTTTCAATAATACATAAATCATTTTACATTCGTAACTAAATAAAAAATAAATTAAAAATAAAAGAATCTTGTAAATAAGGTCCTTAAACGGGGAAAAGACTTTTAAATGATACTCATGTGTCTATTAATATAGACCACGTCTTTTAAAAACATATGGAAAACTGCCTGTTGAAAGACGCAAACACAAAATTGTTGATTTTATTAATTTTGACCTTTTTGACATAATCATCGTTTGAAGTAGCTTTGAAAACAATTGTCTTAATATTACTGATTTTTTGACAGGTATCAGTGTATTATAATAATTTAAGGGTATTTTTCGGACCTCCACTATTTTCTGTTTATTTTATTAAATTGCATTTTTGTTGAGTCTATTTTGTATAATGCTCTCAGTGTGTAATTGCTTTCAGACAATATAGAGTCAAATTTCCCCAAACGCGAGTGCCAGGAAAAAAATATTTGGCAAAATATACCAGCAGCTTTTAACAAATGGCAGTATTTTAGTGAAAAAAAGTAGGAGCCAGGCGGTTTTGAATGAAAATATGCAGCTACATATTTTTCTGCATTTTGAAAATACTCCACAGGCCTCCACCCGCCTTGCTGCTTCAGATGTAGACGACACTTCAAACATGGTTAAAAATTAACAGTTATAAACCATTTAAAATTACACCAGTACAAAAACTATAAGAAGCTGATTTTAACTTACTTTAAGACATATTTCAAAATATAATTTGGACAGATGAACCAATATTTACAACGTCTGCGATGTTGTTGAATTGAAAAAATAGGCATTATGTGTATTATGTGTTGTTGAAGTAAACAAGGGGGGTCGAAGATGTAGGGATTTTTAAAATCTGTTTTTTAAATACATAAGATACCAGTCTCGTTCTTTTTATTTTTTTTTATAAAGTACAGATATATAAAACCTGTCTTTCAGGATAAGAAGGCAAACACATCACAAACATCAAAAGAATGTGAGAATTCAATAGCTGCTTGGCTGAAAAAAGCTACTTTGATCAAAGAAGGACAGAAAACCTGTCAAATATTAGTTATTCCTTTAGAGTTTAGTTCAACATATAGTATCTTACTCTATTTTTAAGATACTTAAGGCTAGGTTATTCTATATTTTTGCTATATTATATAAATTTTTCTCATACCTACAACAGAAAAAAATCAGGTTTGTATAAAATGTGTTTTATTAATGGTATCAATCGGCAGTCCTTCACTTTTACCATCAAAAGCAAAATTAAAGATTAAATATTGATTGAAAAAAAGTTGTGCATTTCTAATATCGTCGGCTACTCCAGTAATGACTTCACCAACCATACCCAATAGGTTAATTCCGTCGCAAGCGAGTACCAAATATTGGGATAGAATTTTTGTAGTCGTACTGGACATTACCTTTCCAGTATTTCTCATAGGCTGCTAGAAATAACCTAATAATTAAGTAAAGTCCACTGGTATATCTATATATAATCCTACATCCTCACAGTCGGATATACTAATGACGTCTCAACTAGTATAACTGGATATCCTTAGTATGTCCTAACAAACATCCTATCTTATATACTGTGGACGTTCCAATTTGTAAAATCGTATATCCTTGAGACGTCTTAAACATGTCCCTTAGCTGAAACAGTTTATCCCTAGGATATACGTCAGATATCCCGAACATGATTTACGGACGTCCTTGTGCTCTTGGGTGACCGGTCTTGATCTGCATAATGGCATCACAAAGTCCCCATATGATATGTGGTCAGTGATATTTTGAATGTAAGGAAGGACTACAGTGGCAAGTGTAGGATTGCTTTCGGCCTCATTGGCATTGGAAGGTTGTGGTGAAGTGTCTTTTTTGATCGAACGCTTAATATCCTTAATGAGGAAATTATTATAAAAAAGAGCAGAGGTAAGGTGTTTTAATGCTGGGTTCAGTGACTCGGGTTGAAATAGTTCTACAGCTCTGTAAACAAGAGAGTTGATGACCGATGATTTTTGGGCCGGATGGTGATGTGGTCATGAATTAAGGTATAGGTCTGTGCGCGTACGTTTTCTGTAAACACAATGACCCAATGTTAGGTCTCATTTTCTATTGATAAAAATATCTAAGAATGGAAGGTTATTATTAGTTTCCAACTCAATGATAAAACATATGTTAGGCTGTATAGAGTTTAAATGTCTAAAAAAATCTACTAGGGTTTCTTGACCAATACGCCAAATAACAAAAGTATCATCGAATTAGCGTTTCCATAATTTTGGTTTTAGATGAACGCTGTTAAGAACTTTCTTCTCAAAGGCGTCCATAAATATATTCGCGATGACTGGTGATAGTGGAGAACGAGTAGCAGTTGCCGACGTTTGATCAAAAGTTTGACCTCTAAAGAAAAATTTTTTCTAGACAAGCATTTTTCTATTAAGGTTAGAAGGTTTGGTTCCAGATTCTCGAATTTTATTATATATGAAATGATGTTGATGATGAATAGGAACTTTGGTAATTAACTAGAATATCTTGCGTATCTAATATAATGCTTTTTAATTGTTCAATGAAATGAAAGGAATTAAGTAAATAAAATGTGAGCCAGGTTCAGTCAAGTTCTGAAGAAGCGAACATGATGAAACGTCAGCAAGTTCGACTCAGTAAAAACCGACGCAGGAGGAATCCAGAAGTTTTGTAAAAAATATAAAAATTTTATGATTCTGCCATTATATTTAATTCAAATTAAATTATTTATAAAAATTTATTCACACATTGCGTCACCCGGTATATCACTTTGGACACCATTAACGTATAAAATGGCGTTAGCACTCAACTTTTTTAAATGCAACCCATATACCACGTCGGGATAGGTGAAGATGCGCTTGTAAATCATAAAAATGCCACTTAGCTAACGTTCCTTCCTCGTGCTCAATGAATGTGACGCTAAACGTGTCGGAAACGTGAAAAGACCGGAAAAATTGCTGCATTAAAAGATTCTCATCGCCTCCCTAAGAATATCTTATTTCAAATCATTATTAAATGTCAACGCCGACGCACGTTTCTAAATAAACCTACGAGAATTGGATGCACTGAAATAGACTGCTTCTTATTTTGAGTTAAGTTTTATTATCCTTATTTATAAATTCTTTTTTTTCAGTTTTAGTCAAGCTCTGAAGAAGCCAACAGAATGATTGGCGAAACGTCAGGAAGTTCGACTCAACACTCAAACTTTTTGTTTCTTCCATATTGTTTTTTTTTACATTTTTACTATAACCACGCATAACTTGTACAGGATGTCCGAAATATGGTTCCCTACCTCTTTAACTCCCTTCAGCTGACGTCACCTTATCGCGGTAAGTTTTACTTAGCCCAAAACCCTCAAAAATGAAGATCAAATAAAGTACCCGAGGTAAGTAGGCCAGATATTCCAAAATCTTGCTTTGGATTTATAAGTTGGGAAATCGTCGGTCTTTGTGAAGGAAGACGTGGAGACAAGCTTACTACTCAGTAGAAGAGTACTAATTTTTCAAACAAACTTCCACAGGCTACTGTAATACTTTTTATAGAACTTCTGGATTCCTCCTACGACGTTCTGTGTTGAGTCGAACTAGCTAACGTTTCGCCAATCATCCTGTTGGCTTCTTCAGAGCTTGACTGAAACTGGCTCGCATTTCACTCTGTACCTGCTTTTATATTGTTTGAGGGGGCTGAGCTAAATGAGGGGCATAAACACCGTCTCGGATAACTGATTCCCATATTCGTGACAGGTAGATACCTGAGTCGCGATTAAGATTGTTAGGTTGCTTATAGATTTCTACAGACTCTCGAATTTTTCCTTGAAGATTGATAAATTGATCGAATAAAATTTTATGTCCGGTTTCGTGATTGTGTTCGGCAACTGCTGATGAGTTTATTCGTCGTAGTCTTAAGGCTCTTTCATGTTTTTTGAGCCTAGTTGATATTTTTCGTCCGGTCTCTCCAATGTATTCTTTGCCGCATATGCATGGAATGATGTAAACTCCTGGCATCCCAAATATAATTTTGTCTTTGACGGATCGAGGATGTTGAGAGATTTTTGGACAAGTGGTAAATCTGGTTTTTATGTCATATTTCTTTAGAAATTTTGGTATGTGCTCAGTGATATTTTGAATGTAAGGAAGGAC